AAAGCTCCCGTGTTCATGCTGTCTGGGTTCCCTTTAAATGCTTCATTGTCCCTGAACATTGACCAAATCACAAGCTGACCTAACCCGAATAGGAATGACTGACTCCTGGTACAAAGAACATAGGAAAATTGTCCCATCTCTGATACATCACAGTGTTTGTGGTTGAGCCTCCAGCTAACAACTCATCGCTGAAGCCACTTGAACTAACAAACACTTATTGCAGACACGTTTGTTCTGGACCAAATAGATGTCCAGGAACTCCTACATGCTACAACTGTGACAAACCTGTCCTGCCATTCTTAACATGTTCCAAGGAACTACTTAATTGTTTTGTTCAATGTTATGTTTAATTCACTCAGAGATAGTAAGAACTGCTGATGCTGGAGTCGGAGATAACACAGTGTGGAGCTGGAGGAACACAGCAGGTCAGGCAGCATCAGAGGAGCAGGAAAGTTGACGTTTTGGGTCGGGGCCCTTCCTCAGAAAAATCCTTTACTCCTCTGATGCTGCTTGGCCTGCTGTGTTCGTCCAGGTCCACACTGTGTTATCTCTTAAATTTAATTCAGGTTTTATATGTTTTAATAAAATCCGAAAGAACTGCGGATGCTGTAAATCAGGAGCAAAAACAGGAGTTGCTGGAAAAGCTCAGCAGGTCTGGCAGCATCTGTGAAGAAAAATCAGAGTTAACGTTTCAGGTCTGGTGATCCTTCCTCAAAACTGATGGTAGCTGGGAAAACATCGATTTATATGCAGAAAATAGGGAGGGGGAATGGGGTACGGCATAAACGATAGGATAGAGCCCGAAGAGAGAGAAGAGCAATTGAAGAGACAAAGGAGTTGGTAATGATCTGGCTGGGAGGGTGAATAGTTCTAAATTGGGACTGTTAGTGGCTAACAATAGGTAGTGTGTAATGGCAGGCTATGTGAGAACAAGGCCTGGTGTGTGGGGTATTGGGCCAGGTCTTGGGAGAGTTTAGGCCCTAAAATTATTGAACTCGATATAGTGTCTGGGGGGTTGCAGGTGTTGTTCTTTCAGCTTGCATTGAGCTTTGCTGTAACACTGCAACAAGCCAGAGACAGAGATGTTGGCCAGGGAACAGGGTGGTGTGTTAAAGTGGCAGGCAACAGGTAGCTCAGGGTCTTTTTTGCGAGCAGAACGTAGATGTTCTGCAAAGCGGTCACCTAGTCTACGCTTTGTTTCCCCAATGTAGAGGAGGCCACATTGTGTGCAGCGAATGCACTAGATTAGATTCTGGGAAGTGCAGGTCGTGTTGCTTCACCTGGAAGGTATGTTTGGGCCTTTGGCTAGCGGGGAGGGAGGAGGAAAATGGGCAGGTGATGCACCTTCACCAGTTGCAGGGGAAGGTGCCATGGGGCTGTGGAGGGGTGTTGGGCATGAAGGGAAAGTGGACCAGGGCATCCTGGAGGGAAGGCAGACAGGGGAGAGGAGGGAAATATGTGTCTGGTGGTGGCATCTCACTGCAGATGGCAGAAATGGTGTCTGAATGATCTTCTGGATGTGGATGCTTGTGGGATGGTAATTAAGGAACCCTATTGCTGTTGCGGGAAAGAAGAGGAGTGAGAGCGGAAGTGCGGGAGATGGGTCGGATCTGGTTGAGGGTCCTGTTGACAACGGTGCTGGAGAATCCTTGGTTGAAGAAGAAGGTGGACATTTCAGAGGTTCCTTTGTCGAAGTTGGCCTCATCTGAATGTATGCGACAGGGACAGAGGAACTGAGAGAATGGGATGGAGTCTTTACAGGAAGCCAGTTGTGAGGATGTATAGTCCAGGTAGCTGTGGGAGTCAGTGGGTTTATAGTGGATATTAATGGCCAGTCTATCCCCAGAAATGGAACCGAGTTGAGAAGGGAAGGGAGGATTCAGAGATAGACCAGGTGAAAGTGAGAGCAGGCTGGAAATTGTAAGTGAAATTGATTAACTTTTCCAATTCCGGACGAGAAAGGGAAGCACCGATGATATCATTGATATATCGGAAAAAGAGTTGTGGGTGGGGGCCAGAATAGGACTGGAGCAAGGAATGTTCCACATGCCCCATGAAGAGACAGGCATAACTAGGGCCCATGCGGATACCCATGGCAACCCTTCTGACCTGAAGAAAATGAGAGGAGTTAAAAGAGTTGTTGAGGGTGAGCATGACCTCACCCAAGTGGAGGAGGGTGGTGGTGGGTGGGGACAGTTCACATCTTTGCTCCAGGAAGAAGCGAAGAGCCCTAAGACCCTCCTGGTGGGGAATGGACGTGTAAAGGGATTGCACGTCGATGATAAAGGAGGCAGCTGGAATCTGCAAACTGGAAGTTGTGAAACTGGCGTAAAGCGTCAGAGGAATCATGGATATACGTGGGCAGGAATTGGACCGGGAGAGAGAAGACTGAGTCAAGGTAGGAAGAGAAGGTTGGAAGACTCTGAGTTTTTCTTCAGAGATGCTGCCAGACCTGCTGAATCTTTTCCAGCAACCTCTGTTTTATATGTTTTAAATTTACCAGCAGTTCCTATACTATGCTGAATCTTAGGAGTAGCACAGACCTTAGTCACTTACCATATTCACACCAAATAACTAGCTTTTTCTCCTGTAGCACAGTACGAATCAATTCCTATTGTTGAAATGTTTAGGAAAAATAGAAGCAACAGAACACCTTGTTCCTTTCGTTTCATTCTGAGTCATTTAACTCTGGCATTTTATTATAAATAGTACTCGTACTAATTCAGACGAAGGTGGCTACTTTTATTGAGTGAGTCCAAGCTAACTCACTTAATTTGGTCTCAATTTCAGCTAGATCTTAATTAATGTCTCTTTCACTGGAGGCCTTGTTAATATCCTGCTTGAGGTTGGGGGGCAATTATAGAATTTAATCTGTACATTTCAGTTTAATGCCAATTAAACTATAAACTAAATTAGATCTGTACAAAATAAAAAATTAAGCTTTCTTGCTGAATAACTGCACACACTCAGGCCTATAAAGGTCACTGATGAAGCTTTTAAACAATGCTTATTAAAATGGGTTATTTAGTCATTATCACATTGGTGTTTTAGACGGTTTTTGGTGCACAAGTTGGCCACCACCCTTTGAAAGTAGTTAATTGGCTGTAAAGTGCTTTGTGCCATACTAAGATTAATAAAGGCTCAATGGAAATAAGCTATTTCTTGTAAGATCAATGCAAAATTGTGAATTTTATTTCCTAATATTCAACTATCTTGTTCCAAACCATGAACAAAAACAAAGCTGCTGGAAAAGCTCAGCAGGTCTGGCAGCATCTGTGAAGGAGAAAACAGCGTTAACTTCAATGAGTCTTCAATTCAGTTCAATGGCTCTCAACAGCAACAGTGCTTCCAACATTAGGAAATACCTTTTGTACTCTGATGAGTTTAGCAACCTTTTCTCTTATTTCCTTGGCTGCTAGAATATAAATAATTGGACTCAATAAAGGGCTTAAAGTAACATACACAAGAGCAGAGGCTATATGAATAATTGGGAGGCTGTGACTGACATAGAATAATGCAGAATAAAGGGCCATGGAGGGGAAAAATAAGCTAAGGACCAACAGATGGCCTATACAGGTGGCTGACACCTTTCTCTGTTCTGAAGAGGCAACTTTTACCAATTTACATATTTTAATATAAAACCAGAGAATAGTAAGAAAACTTAAAATGACAAATATCACATTTAAAATTAAATTGATAAATTTAACAGAGATTGTATCTGTGTAAATCAGGCTCACTACTGACAGCAACTCACAAAAGGAATTGTAAACTTCATTTGGACCACAAAATGGAAAAATAGAAGTTAAAACCATTGGAGGCAAGAAAGAAGCCATTCCTAGTACCCAGGTAAGACCTGCCAATTTGACAAAAAAAGCATCTCTTCTGAGGGACAAATAATGTTGGGGGTTGCATATTGCAACTGAACGATCATAAGCCATCACAGTGAGCAGCAATATCTTCACTGCCGATATACTGTGGAAGAAATACATTTGGATGAAACAGTTACCCCACAGAATAACTTTAATGTTGAATATAAGCTTCACCAACATTTGAGGAATGACTGAACTTGTTAACACCACATCCATTGCTGCCAAATTAGCAACAAGAAAATACATTGGTACATGCAACCGCTTGTCTGTCGTAACCATGTACAACATAGAAATGTTCCCAAGAACTATTAATATGTATACCGTAAGAAACAGGGACAACAAGCGTGATTGTAAATCTTGATGTTCTGGAAATCCAACAAGAATGAATCCTGTGACTGGATATCGTCTTTGATCTGATTTGGCCATTAACTGGTTTCCCCCTATTGAATTAATAATTGTGAGTGAGCAAGGTGGCACATTAACCTCATTGCATCTAATACAAACTAGCAGAGACCCACAAAATATCTGTGACCAAATTAGTATCTTCACTGCAACAATGCTCTTTAAAGGATATCTAGTTTCTCTTTTACCAAAGACTTTACCTGTGTCAAAATTACACATCTGACTCCAGTAATAAATACTCCTGAAACATTAGCCATGTATGAAATCAGCTGTGGATTTTTTTTTAAATTCACTCATGGGGTGTAGGCTTCTCTAGCTAGGTCAGCATTAATTGCCCATCCCTAAGCACCCAGACAGCAACTAAGAGTCAACAACATTGCTGTGGGTCTGAAGTCACATGTAGGCCAGACCAGGTAAAGATGACAGATTTAATTCCTTAAAGAACATTAGTGAACCAGATGGATTCCCACCCCCAAACAACAACTCTTAATTCCAGATTCTTTATTGAATTCAAACTCCACCATCTGCCATGGCAGGATTTGAACCCCAGTCCCCACAACATTAGCTGAGTTTCTGGATTGATATTCTAGTGGTAATACCACCAGGCCATTGCCTCCCTGATGAATACATATGATGTTAAGAGTCTGGCCTCATTAACTATTTAGAATGATAAACTATGAAAGTCTAGTTAAGATTTTTTTCTTCTGAGTTTTTTTTATTTGTTCGTAGGTTGTGGCCGTCACTGGCTGGGCCAGCATTCATCGCCATCCGCAATCCCCAGTGAACCGCCTTCTTGAATCATTGCAGTCTTTGGGGTGTGGGGTCATGCACAGCAGTGATTTTCAAATAGTGTGCCATAAAATGTACAAAGGTAATGAAAATAAATATAAAACATTTATTTATTACAACTCATAAAACACATGAAAATTAATCATCAAATTAAAAGCGAGTCAGTCAGGCCCCTGAACTGAGTGCGGTGAGTGGAAAAGATTTAGGGTCATGAGTAATTAGGAATAGTTCAGTTGAACAAATTTTGCAAATGTGTCTCTGTTCACAGTTAAAGACTGTGTATTTTTTTTTCCAGCGGATTTGAAATATTAATGCATTTGATCCTTGTTGTACGCATTATGTTGCAAACCTTTCCAGTAAGGCTGTAACTGCAGTAAATGTGACATTGTGAGCAATCAATTCAAGTGGAAAAAAGTGAACGTGCCATGGAAATATTTGTGTCATTGAAGTGTACCATTTTATTGAAAAGATTGGGAACCATTAACCCACAATGCTGCAAGGGGGAGAGTTGCAGGACTTTGATCCAGCATCACTGAAGGAATGACAATATGGTTCCACACTAGGATAGTGAGTGGCTTGGAGGGGAAAATTTCAGGTGGTGGTGTTCCACTGTATCTGCTGCCTTGTCACAGAGATCATGGGTTTGGAACATGCTGTTGAAAGAGTTCCATCACACTCCTGCCTTGTGTCTTGTAGATAGTGCACAGATTTTGAGGAGACAAGATGAGTTACTCGCTTGAGTTCAACGGTGTGGAAATTCCAGACTTTTAAATTTAATCCAAAATCTCACCATTTGGGATTTGACTCCATGTGGATTACTGATCCGCTGTCAATACCACAGAGTTGCTGCCTACTTTATTCCATTCAAAGTATATGTTTTTCTGATCATTTATGCCCAAGCCTCAGTCAATTAACTGGGTGAGCAAGTTGCATTGTAACTACAACCCAACTGAATTGCTGAAAGACACCTGCGTTCTGCTTAATGACATGTATCCAGTTGTCTTCTTTCCAAAGGCACAGGAAAATTCAAGTGGCTAATGACTACCACAGGCTGTTGATTGAAATGAAAAACACAAAACTATTTTGGAAAGTCCTCTTCTTTAAAAGGTGCTTAACTGTTCTTCATAACTGATAGCTATTGGCTTCACATGGTATATACTATTACTCTTAACTCATTGAGAGCTCTTAACAGTGGCAAAACACCAAATGTATCCTAAATGATTGCAATTGATTAATGTGCTGTTTATTTCAGTTTCATATTCCCAAGATACATCAGGTCACATTTCACAGGTTGTATACAGGTAGATTACATTTTATTTCCCATCACCAAATCACCAGAGGTTACAGATGGATGATCTTATCTACCCAAGATTGTAATCACCTGAGATCTTCAACGATCAGCAATAAGACAAAACAGTTTTTAAGTCCTGCCTTCTGATCCAGTATATTGCATCATCATCCAAAGAGTCTGATTAAACTTAAACGCCTATCTGCAGATGCAGAAAGTTAATTTTGCATACTTGATTGGGCACAGACCAGGCTCCTGAAAAATACAAAACGTTTTAAAATAATACAAAGTGTAACTACGCATATTATCAAAGAAAACAGTAAAATATATTTGAATCAGAGATAGCAGGAACTGCAGATGCTGGAGAATCCGAGACAACAAG